CGCGCTCCCTAGTTACGCGTATCAACTCGTTGCTAACGAACGAGCGGTGATTATTATAGATTCCTAAAACATTCTTGGAACATGTATGAGATATTTGTGGTATAGTAAATATGTTACAATAGATTTTTTTTAAGTCACCACGAGTGAAATATTTTTTTCGACTGTCGCAAAGATAAATTGAGTACATATATGTATAAAACACGATTATTTATAAATATTTCAATTAAATATTTGTACATTTTTTAAATAAAAATATGAAACTATACTTTTGTTTACTTAACTATGTTTTGCATGAAACGTTAAACAAAAACTATTTTCAAAATATTATAAATTTATAAAATATTAAAAATTCAGTGATTTATTAATGTATACGTACTTTATTTATTAATGTATATATACGTACCTTATTTATATTAATGTATATATATACGTACCTGATATTTACTAAAAAGCTTTTGTGTTATTATTTCAAAAACGTTGATGTAACACAATTGTACAAAAACAATTGTACAAACACAAATATATAAAATCTGCAATGCAGTGTAATATTTTTGAATATGTTACAAAGTAAATGTTTCATATAAAACGTTCATAGAATATTATGAAATTAAATGTTTCAGGAATGTCACAAATGTAACATTGCTGTAATGTCTCTGAACGTTACAAACTAAACATCCCAAATGAAACGTTTATGGAATGTTTTAAAATATATGTTTTATGAACGTAGCAAATGTAACATTGCTGTCATGTCTCTAAGGTTACAAACTAAACATCCCAAATGAAACGTTTATGGAATGTTTTAAAATACATGTTTTATGAACGTCGCAAATGTAACAATGCTGTAATGTCTCTGAACGTTACAAACTGAACATCCCAAATGAAATGTTTCTAGGATGTTGCCAAACATTTCTTTCCTAACATTTCAAATTATCGATATAACAGCCAAAATGTTACATTTCTGGAACAGTGCATGAATGTTGCAATTGAAATGTTATTTTGAAACGTTTACGAAACATTTCATAAACATATTTATGTAACGTTTCAAATTTGCAATATTATTGCCGAAATGTAACATCCCCTGTATGTTTCATGTTTAGCGGGTATATATATATATAATTTTTCTTTATAAAATCAATAAAATCAATGTTTACAAGCAACTATTATAATAAATATATATATTTAAAATACATCTAATATATATAATTTTGATTTAAACACCCTTTATACTGCGCATGATGCAACACGCCTTAACCGAACAAATATTTTGGAAAATCGTTCGTTTATATACAAACAGCAAGTGAGTAATACAATATAGAATATAATATAAAAAAAATAAAATTACATAACTTAAATAATGTATAATAATAGAAGTTTTATAAAATGTCCCTTAATTTTCTTGCTTCTTCTGACATTATTTCATAATGGTGTTTTTTAGTTTTACAATTCCGCTATTTTTCTCGTTTTTCTACTATATTTATTTTTAATTTCATTATTTTTACTATGAAAACCGCTTTTGTAGAAAGAAGTTGTTGATTTATCGTTGTTTCTCTTTCATATGCAGATTCATTGTTGTTTTGTTTATTTTTGTTCATAATTTGTTATTTTTTGAAAATAATTTTTAAAATTATTTTTATTCTTTTATTATTTCCCTTATTTATATATATGTATATGTCCATAATTCTTATAATTTCTTTTCTTTTAATTGCATCTTTTGCTATTTTTTATTTGTTTTCTAATCTTTTAACAGGTTATTAAATATCTAACATCTCTTTTCCTTACCTTCTCCATTTTTCATTATTCTTCTCTCGTAGATCTACCTACTTATTTTGCTTATTTTCTTTTAATATTGTTCAAAATCATTTTATAACTCTCTCAATACTTTGTTCAAATATAATTGTTTTAGTGCTTTATGAAAAATAAATAATATATTATTTAATTGCATTAAAATTATTTATTATTTTTATATTGTTCAGAAGTAAGTTGACCCCAGGTCAAGAACTTTATTATTTGTTCAAAGAGAATGAAGAAGTAGGTCGATAATTTGAAATTCTATAATTTTTGAGTTAATCCGGCACGGGGCAGCACGCACTGAACCTACACGCCGCGCTTCAAGCGTTCGATTATCGAATCGATCGGGGATGAACTGCCTCGTCATCGAACCTGGGCATTCGCTCCTGGCACGGCTTTGCGATTAGTCACATGTGGGTTTTCCGTCGCGATTCTAATTGTTCGTAGTTCGTTTGATTAATAAAAAAAATAATCAGATTGATATTCTGCTGTGATTCAGTGATAAGTGAGATGTGAAATACGTTCACTTTGACATTCGCTAATTAACGGTAGCAACAAGGTGCGCCGTTATATACGCGACATAAAATTTGCGCTCAAAACATTGTTAACGAAGCGGAATTCAGTGATTTGGGACCAGAATTCACGCAATGGTGAAATATCAAGGTGCCGAAGTCCGATTGTTTCCACGAACGTAATAATTGTATACATGAGGCTCGCGCGTGTTCGCTTGGCACGCGTAGATCACGTGAGTTGGAGCGCGCAGATCACGTGATCAGTCATCTGGGACTGATACCTGATGTCGTGATTGTGTTTGCGTTCCTTTTTTTCATCCCTTCGAGCCCGTGGTGCTCAACGCACTGTAACATTTATGTGATCAGTGATTCTTCATGTTAATTGAAACATTTCGGTTCGCGATTTAATATCGCATTCGCCGCAATCGGCAACGTGTACGAAATCTTAATGTGAGATTTCGAACGATTCGATACACGAGTTTCGAGCGTGTTCATCGTAACTAGCAATTGTTATGCAACAAATAGTTTTTCGGTGGTGTCCATGCAACACATGCTAGATACCATATAGTGAGACATTTCGGACTGCTTAACAACCACGTCGTACGTGTTTTCGCGGTGACTATTTTATTCGTTAATAGATAAAGATTTTATGTAAAGGTTTCAAATTAATTTGCGTTTATGTACATTGTGACTCTCGGACAAATTTAGTTAATAAATGGATTGTTTTTGTGTAATTTGTGCATATAATTCCGTATTCTGGTTCTCGATTCGGCACGTGGCTTAAATCGTTACCCATCCTGCGCACCAATCGGAGCGCGTCCACCCTCCTTAAGATACAGTCCACTTTGAATCTTCCTGTGCAATCTATACACGAGACGGATATCGACGATCGGATTTACAACCCGATTGTCAGGATCCGTAGCTTCGTGCGTGAGCGTTCAACGTCAGCAATCGAGCGTACGCGCAAACATTTTTTGGTCCTTCGAGCCGGATAGGAGAGTAATGACGAATCGAGAACACTGAATTAAGGACACCAGTGATATTTAAGTGCAGCGTGATTCGAGATACAGTCAGTCAAGTAATCGCGTTTAAGTAGACAATCGTGTTAGTGACATATTCATAAACAACTATAGTGTCAAAATGGAAGACGCTCTTGCAAATCAGCAAACTATCTTCCACTCAATTGCTCGAGCTCTCGACAATTTCAAAAAGATTGGTCGTTCTAATTTGACGGCCGCAAGGGTTCGCTCACGGATTGCGACTTTACAAGCTCAATGGACTCAAGGTGTGCACAATCACACCATTCTGCTTCAACTTGTTCCAGAGGATGATCAAGGGTCAATTAATTATTTCAAGAAGAATCAATTCGACCTTCACGAAGATCTCTATCAATCAGCCCTGGATCATATGAACGAATGTCTAGAAGACCTGGTTCCTGTCGTAAGTCGAGATACATCCCTCGAAACTTCTTTTGCGCAAATGGACGCATCGTCATTCTCGTTAAAGCATCTCCCTCCTATTAAATTACCGCCTTTTTCTGGAAAAAACGAGGATTGGGAGACCTTTCGCGACCGTTTTCAGTCGTTGATTATAGATAACAAAGAATTGTCAAATTTCACTCGTATGCATTTTTTGATCTCTAGTTTGACAGGTCCGGCCCGCGATGCGATATCAGGAATCAAAGTAACCGCCGAAAATTTTAAGGTCGCGTGGAAAGCGTTAACCACGCGTTTCGAGAACAAACGACGGTTGATCGAAGTACATGTGTCGACCTTATATCATCTTCCAAAGATGACTCGCGAATCAGCGTCAGAACTTCACGAGTTGCGAGATAAAACGGAACAAGCGTTAGCGACATTGAAACGTCTTGATCGTACAGCAGAGGATATTGTAAGCGATATATTAGTATACTTCATTTCACAAAAGTTTGATTCTGCTACGCGTCGAGCGTGGAAATTGAAGAGTAGCGATAACGAAAATCCTCCAACGTACAAAGACTTGATACGTTTCATATCTTCGCGCGCTATAGCGCTTGAGGAACTCCATCCTCACGAACACGATAAAACGAAGTCACATTCGAGAGTGACAAGCGCCACCGCAACTGCGTCAGTTAATTTGTCATGTCCAATTTGTAAACAATCTCACTTTCTCTCTAAGTGTCAACAATTTCTTTCAATGAGCACGGATCAACGACGCGAATTGATAAAGAAACTTAAGCGATGTTTCAATTGCTTAAGCGATAAGCACGTAGCACTTAATTGTCAGAGTAAATTCACGTGTCGCAAATGTAGCAAGCGGCATCACACAATGATCCACGTTGACTCGGGCTCATTGCAACAAACAACGAGCATTCCTGCGTCATCGAGTTCGCAGAATGTTACTAATATATCAAATGTCACAGCGCTTTCAGCGGTCACGTTAACTACATCACCGACTCCTGTGGTGTTGTCTACGGCAACGGTGAAAATACATTCGCTTTCTGGACGTTCCTTAACTGTCAGAGCCTTACTTGACGGTGGTTCAGAACTCACATTTCTTACGGAACGCGTAGCGCAAATTTTACGCTTACCTCGTATGCAAACATTTACTTCAACTTCGGGGATTAGCTGTGCAGATACCGGTACATGCCGATCTGCCGCGTTAATTAATATTTCGCCTCGCGATAAACCTGAGCCAACCTTCACCACGGTAGCTTACATCATGAGAGCATTGACGAAGTATGCTCCCAGACACGCTTCGTCATTACGTGACTGGAAACACATCTCCAACTTGACCTTAGCGGATGACGATCCGACTGGATCAACTCCTATTGACCTCATTATTGGAGCTGATTTGTATAGCAAGGTTCTTGTCAATATACGCAATGGACCCATAGGTCAACCAGACGCTATACAATCGCATTTCGGGTGGATTCTATCTGGACCTACGTCAATCCCTAATCATGTCATACAAAACACCCATGTAGTCGGCTCTACTTTGGTTTCATCGCATGTCGGAGCCCAACCTCAAGGCTCACCATTACCCAGTTCACAACAAAGGTATCATGCAGTTGCTCACTGCTGCTCCTTGGAACGGCAATTATGTAAGTTTTGGGAGGTTGAAGAAACTCCTCAACATGTTCATGCGTCCATAGAAGATAAACAATGCGAGGATCACTTTCAACGCACGCATACTAGAACAGCAGATGGCAGATATGTCGTGCGACTCCCTTTTAAAGAGGGCCCGCCTATTAAAATAGGCGACTCTCGCAGCATAGCTGAACGCCGACTTTCGTCGCTAATTCGTAAATTTGCTCGTCAACCCACACTTGCACAAGAATATTTGGACTTCATGCGCGAATATGAGCAATTAAATCATATGAAGCAAGTCGCTCCTTTGCATTCAAATAATGTTCAAGCGACCTATATACCTCATCATCCAGTCATCAAGGAGACAAGTTCGACAACCCGTTTAAGAGTCGTGTTCGACGCCTCCTGCCTCACATCCAATGGAACGTCTCTCAACTTTCACATGTACACCGGCCCAAAATTGCAGTCCGATCTACAAGCAGTTATATTGCGCTGGAGGCAATATAAATATGTATATTCTGCGGACATCGCTAAAATGTATCGCCAAATATTAATCGATCCTAGAGATAGAGACTACCAACGGATACTGTGGGTCGACCACAACTCAACTATACAGGAATATCAACTCCTTACCGTTACTTACGGCACTGCGTCAGCACCGTTTCTTGCTCTTCGAGTAATCCAACAATTGAACTGTGACGAGGGAGATTCATTTCCGTTAGCCTCTCCCATCCTAAGAGAAAACATCTACGTCGATGATGTATTATTTGGTGCAGACGATATCACACTGTTAAAGCAAGCTCGCACTCAACTTTGTAATTTGCTGAACCGTGGTGGTTTCGATCTCCGGAAATGGGCCAGTAACCACTCAGAATTGCTTTCAGATATTCAGCCTGACAATCATGGATTGGCTTACGCAAAAAATTTGGAGACTGATGACAGTCTAAAAATCCTCGGTATTGTCTGGAACCCGAAACATGACTGCTTTCAGTTTCAAATTACATTATCTGAAACTGTTCCTAACACCAAACGAGCAATTCTATCAACAATAGCAAGATTATTCGACCCGCTCGGGTGGGTCACACCTGCGATTTTAAAGGCGAAAACTCTCATGCAGCAATTATGGCGACACCGTATCGGATGGGACGACATTATTCCGGACGAAATCTTATCATCCTGGAAGTCTATCTACGAGTCATTACCCTATCTACGAAAAATTCAACTGAGTCGCTGGACAGGTTTTGAGTCCGGAACGGCAACTGTGGAATTACACGGGTTCGCGGACGCATCCACAATCGCTTACGCAGCAGTGGTGTTTTTACGCGTGACATCCTCCTCTGGGAAAATTACGGTCTCGCTCATTGCTGGGCGATCTAAAGTCGCGTCTCTTAAACCAATGACGGTTCCTCGCCTCGAACTTTCTGCTGCCGTTCTGCTAGTTCGCTTGATTGACTTTATCAAGCAGTCACTTCATTTAAGCGACATTGCGATTTATTGTTGGACAGACTCCACTGTAGTTCTCGCATGGCTCAAGAAGCACCCCTCAAATTGGAAAACTTTCGTAGCTCATAGAGTAGCCGAAATTCAGACACGATTACCAACCGGTAGTTGGCATCACGTAAACACCAGTGAAAACCCCGCAGACTGTGCTTCGCGCGGATTACTCGGCCGAGATTTGATATCCATCAACCTATGGTGGCATGGGCCGTCATGGTTGCATCTTCATTCTGATGAGTGGCCTCATCAAATTCTATCAGAGCACCACGAAACTCAGTTGGAACTGAAGGCATGTGAAGCTCATCAAAACAGTACTCGTGAAGACTGGAGTCTTGCTGCACGGTATTCATGGTGGCCAAAATTGATACGCGTCACTGCATATATATACCGATTCATAAACAAATGTCAACGGAAGCACGCGGCAGATCACAAAGATCACGTCCGGTCCCACGCCATTACAGCATTTGAGTACATGCAGTCTCGTAACTTTTGGTTGCATATGATTCAAGCAGAGGTGTTCAAGCAAGAACTTTACTTACTCAAGTCAAACAAGAGGTTATCAAGAAACAGCGCTCTGATATCATTAAATCCATTCCTAGACGCAAATGGTCTACTCCGCGTTGGCGGAAGATTGGAGCATTCTCATCTACCATTTCAATCCAAACATCCAGTTCTACTAGCTGATCATCCAATTACTACAATGCTCATTCGCTACACGCACATAGCCTCGCTGCACGCCGGTCTTCAGTCTACCCTGTCTAAAATTCGCCAAGAATTTTGGATTATAAAATCTAGGCCTTTAGTTAAATCAGTTATCTACAGGTGCGTTCGATGCACGCGAGAAAGAGCTCAGGTAGCCAATCAGTTAATGGGTCAACTCCCATCAACTCGAGTCTCAACGCCAACGAGGGCGTTTTTGCACAGCGGCATCGATTATGCCGGTCCAGTGCTCATTCGAGCCTCTGCTGGTCGAGGAATCACCTCACGAAAGGCTTACATAGCCGTTTTCATATGTTTGGCAACTCGAGCCATTCATCTCGAGTTGGTCAGCGATTATTCAACGCCAGCATTTTTGAACGCATTTCAACGATTTTGCGCCAGACGAGGCTTGCCAGCAGTTATGTATTCGGATAACGGTACAACATTCACAGGAGCCGATAAAGAGCTATCCCGCGCGTATCGGGATGCTCAACGCAATACGGATTTTCTCAATTTAATCGCAACAGATAGGATCACTTGGAGTTTCATCCCGCCTCATGCTCCTCATTTTGGAGGACTATGGGAGGCAGGAGTGAAGAGTGTCAAACACCACCTTCGTCGAATTGTAAGCTCACACGCATTGACATTTGAGGAGTTCACGACAGTGTTGTGCAAAATTGAGGCTATCCTCAACTCAAGGCCGCTTTCTCCACTCAATGATACTCCAGATGACTACGAGTTCCTGACCCCAGGTCACCTTTTGATTGGGACTGCCATTACTACGAATCCGGAACCTTCCGTTCTACAATTGAACGAAAACAGATTGTCGCGATGGCAATTACTCAGACAGATTACGGAGCGTTTTTGGAAGCAGTGGCAGTCAGATTATGTCAATACTCTTCAACAAAGATCAAAGTGGCGTCGAGAAACGCCTCCGATTCAGGTTGGCTCAATGGTTTTGATTCAAAACCCCCTTCTCCCACCGTGTAAATGGGAATTAGGGCGAGTTATTCATTGTCATCCGGGCTCTGACGGGTTAACTCGAGTCGTCTCAGTTAAAACAGCGACGTCCGAATACAAGCGACCAGTAACTAAATTGTGCCTACTACCTATCGATATTAACTTAATCGATCAACTGTCGGAACGTAAGACAGGTACTGCGGAAAACCCAACTCCATAATGCGCATGCAACGTCTCAATCGTTCGCATAATTAGGACAAGTCAAGTCCTTCGTAGTTAGTTAAGGCGGGCGGCGCTCAATATCCTTGACTACTCAAGACCACTCGCGTCGCGTTAATGTAAGTTTAGTAAGAATCTATGTCTTAATATTGTTATTCAATCATGTAAGCAACCAAATGCCTGTTATTGTTCAATATGTAATCACTGAATCTCACTCGAAAAATCATTAAGCGATTAACGTTTTATTTTTTTTTTTTTTTCTTTATGTAACAAAAAAAAAAAACCCAAACCTGGGGTAAGTTCTTTAGTTACTGTAAGACATTTCGAAATCTTTATTTCGAGGCGGGCGGTATGTTCAGAAGTAAGTTGACCCCAGGTCAAGAACTTTATTATTTGTTCAAAGAGAATGAAGAAGTAGGTCGATAATTTGAAATTCTATAATTTTTGAGTTAATCCGGCACGGGGCAGCACGCACTGAACCTACACGCCGCGCTTCAAGCGTTCGATTATCGAATCGATCGGGGATGAACTGCCTCGTCATCGAACCTGGGCATTCGCTCCTGGCACGGCTTTGCGATTAGTCACATGTGGGTTTTCCGTCGCGATTCTAATTGTTCGTAGTTCGTTTGATTAATAAAAAAAATAATCAGATTGATATTCTGCTGTGATTCAGTGATAAGTGAGATGTGAAATACGTTCACTTTGACATTCGCTAATTAACGGTAGCAACAAGGTGCGCCGTTATATACGCGACATAAAATTTGCGCTCAAAACATTGTTAACGAAGCGGAATTCAGTGATTTGGGACCAGAATTCACGCAATGGTGAAATATCAAGGTGCCGAAGTCCGATTGTTTCCACGAACGTAATAATTGTATACATGAGGCTCGCGCGTGTTCGCTTGGCACGCGTAGATCACGTGAGTTGGAGCGCGCAGATCACGTGATCAGTCATCTGGGACTGATACCTGATGTCGTGATTGTGTTTGCGTTCCTTTTTTTCATCCCTTCGAGCCCGTGGTGCTCAACGCACTGTAACATTTATGTGATCAGTGATTCTTCATGTTAATTGAAACATTTCGGTTCGCGATTTAATATCGCATTCGCCGCAATCGGCAACGTGTACGAAATCTTAATGTGAGATTTCGAACGATTCGATACACGAGTTTCGAGCGTGTTCATCGTAACTAGCAATTGTTATGCAACAAATAGTTTTTCGGTGGTGTCCATGCAACACATGCTAGATACCATATAGTGAGACATTTCGGACTGCTTAACAACCACGTCGTACGTGTTTTCGCGGTGACTATTTTATTCGTTAATAGATAAAGATTTTATGTAAAGGTTTCAAATTAATTTGCGTTTATGTACATTGTGACTCTCGGACAAATTTAGTTAATAAATGGATTGTTTTTGTGTAATTTGTGCATATAATTCCGTATTCTGGTTCTCGATTCGGCACGTGGCTTAAATCGTTACCCATCCTGCGCACCAATCGGAGCGCGTCCACCCTCCTTAAGATACAGTCCACTTTGAATCTTCCTGTGCAATCTATACACGAGACGGATATCGACGATCGGATTTACAACCCGATTGTCAGGATCCGTAGCTTCGTGCGTGAGCGTTCAACGTCAGCAATCGAGCGTACGCGCAAACAATTATAATATAAATATAAGGATATATAAAATTCGAATAAGATAATTTAATCCAAAATAAAAATGATAAATTAAAATTTTTATTAAAACAGTCATTTTATGCTATTAATAAGAACTATTGTGTCAATTCATTAATTATCCCAAATGGAATTACGCCTTCTCAATTATTTTTCTGCAAATGTCGGTTATCAGTTATTTTTTAGTTTTGAAATTGGCAACTTTGTCAATCTAACAAAAGGATTCAAAGGCTTTGCTTGCAATAATTTCTGTTAATATAATTGTATGCAAGGGTCATTATAATTTGATTTATAGCATCGTATGCGACGCTCACTCGTAATTCATGCAATACGAGATTTCTATTAACGAATAGTTATATCTAATATCTTGGATAAACAAATTTTAAAGAAAAATGTGTTCGATTAAATTATCATTCAATTTTGTATTTGTAATGTTTTTCTACATATTTTAATGTGAATTTAGCCATCGCCCAAGTTTATTAATTTTATGAGGGAAATTGCAGAATCAAAACAGATGGATCTATTACTTGCATAATTGGGTTTTCATTGTCCTCTCATAAAAATAATACGAGATTATAGTCATCCGGTGTACGAAACATTTTTTCCGATGGTCTATAGAAAATATTAATGAATTTTGATTGCTATACTTATATACAGAAACATATCCCGATTTTTACGATTTTTTATATTCCATGGTATGCGCAAATTCAAGCAGAAAATCAAAACTATTTTTTTCAAGAGGATAGTTGGATGATATTCAATATGCAACAAATTGATAAATATCGATCATTGACTCATTATGACTTATTACTCGTCTTCATTTTACACACACATACACACAATTGATATTATTTTATATTTTTGTATATTTTATCATTATCGTATAAAAATCTGAAATATTCATTATATATAATTATAATAGTTTTAAAATGTTTTGTGTAATGTTCTGCATTATTTAATATATAATTAAGGTATACATCAGTGTTTTTTATATTATATCAATCAATATTAAAATTATATATTTATAAATATGTATTTTATGCTAATAATAATAAAAATTATAAAAAAGTTAATTATATTTATAAAATTAATATAATAATAAGTGCAAAGTAACATACAATTTTCGTAACATTACATGTTACAGAAATTACACTGATTAATAAAAATAATTGTGAAGAAGTTAATCGGAATACAATTAGAAAATATGGTTGCAAAGTCAATGTAATAGCTATCAGATGTTTTAGTGAAATCAGCAGTGCGCTGTCGAAGGAGATCATAAAATAAATAAGATTATTTTTGCCAAGTTATAGATTTTCTGCCTTAATACTAAATATCATATTTTAAATTATTACTGTGATGAAACCTAGACTAGTGATACCAAAAATTATTGTTACAATTAATTATGTTTAAAAATATTGGAAATTATGTATGAAAAATGTGTCATATTTCATGGTTTTTGAGAGAATGTGGATCATGTGCTGATTTTTTATTCTGAGCATTATAAAGAAGAATGTATACGTGCGTGCGTGCGTGCGTGCGTGCGTGCGTGCGTGCGCGTGCGCGCGTGTGTGTGTGTGTGTGTGTGGTAATACACTTTTTTTTGGATAGCTAGATAGCGTTTATGTGTTCAAACATGTAACTATTTCACAATCTTTTTATACATTACATTCAAATAACGTTTATTTATTATAAATAAATCACATCCGTGTCTCACCTCATGTAATATATGTATATATATGTATGTTATATAATATATGTATGTTAAGTTTTTAAATTAATTTTTTTTGTCGCAAGTCTTTAATGTTTATATTTTTGTTATTGCAAGTTTTTAATGTCATTATATATTTTAAATACATTATTTTTCAGATATGTTTTAAGATTCTGTAAGATTTTGGAGATATAGTTTTTGACGCGGACTTAACAACTTTTTTTACCTTTTTTAAAATGAAATTTTTTATACATATACAAAACATTTATGAGTTCATTATAAAAAATTCCGAAGAAAACCAAAAAAAGCTTGTTACATAAGATTCACTCTAAAACGATTTTTAATAATTATAAAGTGATAAAGTCAAATTGTATTTGCATTATGATAAGTAATGAACAAACTATCAATACGTTACCTTAAAGAATTGATAATCCTAACTCTTTGATTACTGTGGAATGTGAATGTCCAAAGCTCTTAGGTTATATTTCAGTCAATTAACAATCAAAGAGCTTTATCACAATAAGCGTAGACCTATAATATTTAATTACACGCTATGGTTAATAAGTCCAATATCAGAACACGATAAAATGTTTTATTTCCTTTATTAAATTTAATTAATTTATTATTAAGAAATAGAATTGTAATATTTTCAAGTATTCTACAAAGTCAATGATATTTTACAAAAATAATAAAATTTTAATAACTTAAATTGTATATATTTGTTGCACGTAACGTTTTCACCAACAGATTTAGAATATAATCATGTTAAATCATTATATTCCTTATTAATTTGATTGCATAGAAAATATTTAATTATCACGCACATGATTTTATATAATAAACAATTATCTCATCAATATGAATATGTGCAGATATAATATAATAAATATAAATATGTGAATATATTATTCTGTTTGCAATTTTTAATTATTAAATTATATTATTTCCAAATTATATGCATAATAGATATGCAACAAAACTATTATTATTAACAATATATATTTGCAATCCAGATATTATATGAAACTATTCACACACAAGAAAAATAATATTTTGAAAAGTAATTGCTGGTGTACGATTACATTTTTGTTTAATTGGCAAACAAATATTTAATAAAATTTATTAATTTAAAAAAAGGAAAAAGAAAAATGAATCTTTTCAATATAAAAAAATATAAATATATAAATAAATATATAATAACAAAATATATACATTCTAAGCATTTAAATAATAATACAATTTTAAAACAAGACCATTTATATAAATATTTATATAC